AAGAGGGAGGTGGGGGACCAGCCCCCAGTGCTAGTACTCTCTACTAGTTCAGTAAGTACAATTTCTGAATTCAGTAATGCACAATTGTACGGTTGAGATATATAAGTATCATATTAAAGTCATCGAGAGCATGAGAGATAATACAAGAATACAGTCAGACATATTACATGGTAGCATTGCTCACCTCCGCCCCACTTGGTGGTCCTCGTGGGGGGAACCCGGCTGCCAGAGCAGGAGCCGCCTCCCTCGCGGGAGCTGCCCTCTCATCCACCGCCCTCATGGGAGCAGCCCCTCACGGGAAGCAGCCCTTCCTCAGCCGCCCTCTGCCAGCCACCCTCCGGAGAACCAGGGAGCCTCCTTATGTATTGCTAACCATGCGTCATATCACTTTAGGGGGCTCTGATTACAGAGTCATACATCACAGAAAGGGGCAATACAATTCATTCTAGAACAAGTTTGATCACTCTGATGTCTCATATAATAAAACCGACAACAACTATTCTGGGAGGCATGCAAGTCCCCTGATAGCGGACAATAACCTGAGTCACCAGGAGGGGTAGTAACATAGGCAATACAATCAATAGGAGGGTGATGACCTAGGGGTGTGCCCGGATTTGTTGTGGGATAAACAGTGGTGTCTGCTTGATCTAGACAGCTGATAATGGCTACCTAACCTTGGTCATCCTTGGGCAGGTTTGACCTCTCTGGTATCTCCTACTAGTAAACAGACAACCACTATCCTTATCGGAAGGGAGTGGATCTTATTTAGGGTGAGTCAGACTAATAGTCTAGATGGCTGTTGTTAAGGAGAATAACCTATGACCTATTTTCGCTGCCTAATGAACAGTCATTCTCAAGCTAAGTCTGGCATATATTTTGGGGAGACAAGAGAAATCCTTCTGTTCCTCACAGTCACATCCTCACCCCTCTTGACCCGCACGGAGTCTTGGAGATGATTGGCTCAGTGATACTGAGCCTCCTGCCCGGTAGACACACCCCAGAGCTTGGACAAATCCCCTTGCCCAGCCCCGCCTGGAGGTGGGGCCCAGGCCTGAGCAGCTGTCCATATTCCCTGGAGATACCAGTGTGCAACGGGGTTGAAAACCCGGATCTAACTGACCTTCCTCGCTGTAAACACCCCCAAAATGGCTGAGGTGAGAGCCCAGGTCCGTGCTGGCTCTTGGGCCCAGACCAGGGCCCTCTGCCTCCTGCAGCTTCAGCTGAGCTGCCTCCCAGGTGACTGCAGCAGGGGGTTGGCCATTCTCCCCATCTGGACCCCAGGATGACCCTGCCCCAACTTCAGTGATCAGCAGAGACACCAGTGAGCCCCAGAGACAGACTGCGGTGTCTCCCTGCCTCTTTTGTCATTTGCCCCACTCTGCTCAGACCTGCCATCCCACCCAGACATAAGCCCACCAGGCTAAGCAAAACACCGGGCATCTTGCAAGAGAGCTGATGACCACAGCTCCATCTGCCTTCACTCTCCTGAGCTTCTCAGAGGACACTGACAGGCAGCAACAGAACAGACCCTTCCTGGGGGCCAGGGCAGTGGCCTGCTTTCCACTACTCAGTTGGTATGGATAGCAGGTCACCACTCCTGCCCTGAGATAGGAGCAGTGATACTTTCATGCCTAAAAGACATTTCAGAAATCCTGGTTCTGGGTCCTGCCCCTCCCCGCTGTCACCCCAGTCACACATCATCTCCTTCTCTTCAGCCTTCTGCTAAGTGGGTTTATTATCACTCTACCTCCACCGTCCAGCCTGGGTCCCAGACTCCTGCAGAGGCTCGAACGATGGATGAACTATTAGCCTGTAATGCCCAGCAGATTAATTGGCCCAGGTAGGCATATCCAGATAAAATCACTGTCATGGGTTATGACTGCCTGGCTCGGGCACTCGAGGGCTTTCCTTCTGAAAGCAGTCTGTGACTGTTACCCAGACCTGGAAAGCACACCTGGTCGGTGTGGGCAGGGCCAGATGGCAATTGTCAGACAAGAGGGGGTGCCTGTCCGGGGATGAGACACACACGCTTCCCTCTGATGATGTTAGCACATGATCCTCTTTTGCTGTGAGTGGTGCCAATCTCTTAAGGTCTGCATGGGTAACAGGGTGGCGTGCTGTTTCGGCCCCAGGTTAAGTAGTCTGCCAGTTGTTCAGATGTGCAGAGGCCTCTGCTGTTGCCTTTGCCCCCTGAGAGGGAGTCTGCACAGTAGCAGACCTAATGGGTGAGCACGCTGTGGGCTGGGAAGTGGCTAGCACAAGAAGCCGCCTGGCCTTCTCCTCTGTGACAGACTTCCTGCCGCTAGACGGCCAGGGCGGGAGAAGATCTTCTACCTGGGAAGGATGGGACAAGGTGGCAGGAGGCAGAGATGCCCACTAACACACGTGTAAAACAAGGCTGTGTCGTGAGGAGAAGGCTGGCTGGCTGGCAGGCTGGCATCGCGTGCTATCTTGTTGCAGGGTGCAGATGATGGCTCCTTTAAGATGAGAGCACTGGTTCTTTTCCAGCTCTGGGTTCCCCCCTTTAAGAATCTCCTGCTTGGTTCATTCAGGGACTCCCTCAACACTTTCAGGAGCGCTGGGCATCTGGATTTGGGGCTTATTTATTTTCCCCTTCAGGAATCTTGCCCCTAAGTGCCCATGCATGATCATCTGCACCTGGGAAGACTATCACCTGTGCTGCCTCCTGAGAAAAGGGGCCTTCTAACGTTCAGAGAAAGACATCTTCTAATTTGGTTGGATTCCCTAACTTGGTTAGTTTCTCACGAGAATAGCAAGTTGCTGCTTTCTGGCAGGGGGATTTTCAAATTGTGAGTTTTGGTCGATAGAACTGTTTTTCTGGGGCGACCTGTTTTTCTCTGAATGTTGGAGACAGTTTGCTGGGTGGCTTCCCATTTCCACCCCGCATCCTTCTCGGCCTTTTCAGTAGAAAAGCGCTGCATCTTAACTCCAGACATGCTGGAAGCCTGATTTCTACAGTCCCCTGATTACTGCCCTAGGGCTCCCACCTGAATCCACCTGGGCTCCTCGAGCGCAGAAGTAGGCCTGAGCCAACTTGACAGTCAGCCCTCACTTTTCAGAGTCCATCCTGTGGATTCACCTACTCGCTCACGTCCGTGAGCATATGAAAAATTCGAGTCTCTCGATGCGCGCAGCCCCAGCTGATGTCAAAGCGGGTGACACCGTGCCTCTGTCTCACAACTCTTGCTGTAAACAAGTGTCCTTGGGCTTACTCCTTAGGGCCACGGGAGAAAGACTGGTTTTCTGCTCCTGAGGTAGAGGTACACTCTCGGAAACTCATGGGGCGCTTGGTTCTGCCCTGTCCTGTGAGGTCACTCTGAGTCGGCATCGACTCGATGGCCAGGAGTTAGGTTTTTTCTTTTTAGTGCCATACCTTCTGCGCTTTGGTGTCTTAAAAAGGGAGGGGGGGGTTTACTGTTTAAAACGGCCACGTGTCATGCCCCGTGCAGTCAGCATTCCGAAGCAGGAGAAAGCCAGGACCTGCTAGGGGAGAGATGCATGTGTTAATAAGCTTCCTGCAGGCAGCGGTTAGGGGCTGTTGGCTGTGCGTCCCATGTGAACAAGCTCACGGTGTAGACTTACTAAGGTGGCTTTAGGCAGAAGCACACGCAGAGCAAGATTATGTCGTGATCGGTGGATGAGAAACAAAGTGACCTGCAGGTTGGAGGAACCCAGCCCTGAATGTCCCTCGTACGGTAGGGGTGAGGAACCTTCTCTGCCAAGGGCCATTTGGATATCTATCACATCATTCAAGAGCCAGACTGGTCAAACATTTAATTACTCCAACCTGAACCTGAGGGCTAGGAGAGAGACAGTTGTTTACTCCCATAAGGAATTGGTCTCGGATCCCGACTGGGACAGTTCTAGCCTCTCCTCGGGGGCTGCTGTCCTACTCCCATAAGGAATTGGTCTCGG